AAGTTGCAAGAGTTCACGGATCGAGGGCGGCTGCATTTCAAAATGTGGCTCTCGCCTTAGCGCGGCGCACATTCGTTTTCAAATTCTGCAAGACCTTCACGGATTGAGGGCTGGTGGCTTTCCAAATGTGGCTCTCGCCTTAGCGCCGCGCACATTCGTATCAAACATTTGAAACGGTGTTCACGGATTCCCATCACCAACGTACCAGAAATGGTGTTTTGAAAAGATTCAGGATTACGCGGGCGCCACAGTTGTGTTGATTCGCTGCGCTGAAGTCCCAAGAATGGCGTTGTGGCACGGTTCTGAACAATGTTTCAGAATGCTGCAAGGAATTCAAATGGTTGTCTTCCAACGAGGCACTTCCCTCAATGGGAATGAACCGCTGTAAGGGCTTATGAGGAGGAAGCTTGGAGGCAGGCGTGATTCCAACATCGTTGATGCCTCTTGGGCTTACACTGGTCCTCCTGCTCCTCCTCCTCCTCCTCCACCTCCTCCTCCTCCTCCTCCTCCTCCTCCTCTTCCTCCTCCTCCTCCTCCTCCTCCTCCTCCGCCCCCCTCCGCCCTCCCCCTCCCCTTCCTCCCCCCTCCTCCGCCTCCTCCTCCTCCTGCTTCTCCTCCTCCTCCACCTCCTCTTCCTCCTCCTCCTCCTTTTCCTCCTCCTCCTCCTCCTCCTCCTCCTGCCCCTCGCTTCCTCCTCCTCCTCCTCCTCCTCCTCCTCCTCCTCCTCCTCCTCCTCTCATCCTCCTCCCCTCCTCCTCCTACTCCTCCTCCTCCTCCTCCTCTCCTCCTCCTCCTCCTCCTCCGCCTCCCTCCTCCTCCTCCTCCTCCCTCCTCCTCCTCCCTCCTCCTGCTCCTCCTCCTCCTCCCCCTCCTCCTCCTCCTCCTCCTCCTCTCCTCCTAGCTCCTCCCCTCCTCCTCCTCCTCCTCCTCCTCCTCCTCCTCCTCCTCCTCCTCCTCCTCCTCCTCCTCCTCCTCCTCCTCCTCCTCCTCCTCCTCCTCCTCCTCCTCCTCCTCCTCCTCCTCCTCCTCCTCATCCCCTCTCCTCCTCCTCCTCCTCCTCCTCCTCCTCCTCCTCCTCCTCCTCCTCCCTCTTGCTCCAGAGTCGCGACAAGCCTCGCGCGGCAGCGCCCGCTTGCAGCCCGCCGGACCGAACACGCGCCCCGGGTCCTCGGTGATGCGCGCTTCTGGGCGACCACCAGCGCAGGCGCTCGGTGAGGGCTCGGGATAAATGGCCGGCGGATCCCGCGAGACTCTCCGGACGCGCCGCGGGCGCGGGGCGACGAGAGGGGGCGCGGGCGGCGCGCCCTCGGAGGCAGCGCACGGCGGGGCGCCCCGCGCGCCGCAGGAGCGCGGCCTGCAGGAGACGGCGACGCCGACGCCGACGCCGACGCCGACGCCGACGCCGACGCCGACTCCGACGCCGACGCCGACGACGACGACGACGACGACGACGACGACGACGACGACGACGACGACGACGACGACGACGACGACGGGACGCTCCGCGGGCGCCGCTCCGCCGCGCCGCCGCGCGAGGGCGGCGCCGAGACTGCCGCGCCCGGCGGGGGGTCGAAGAGAGCCCAGGTTCTGGAAGCTAGTGGAACTCCAATCGCGGATTGGCCTCGGATAGCACGACCGCCCTCGTCAGACCAGGAATCGTCCCCAAGGCTCTGAGGCCTCCTGGGCACATGTTTTAACTAACGCCGACACCGTAGGATCCCACCAAACATCAGAACGCGTGGGCGTGGTAGCAGAGATGGCGCCCTTGCCCACATTCGTCCGTATCGTCGGGACCCGTCCGCCCAGCAAGAGGCAAGCACACATAAGTTACCCTTGCAAGGCACTCGATCCCACTGTATCTCGTGGCGTCCAGGCTGGCAAAGCACACGCACGCGCCCCGCGGCCAGGTCTATTCGATGCCAGAGCCCTCGGGCGCTACCGCCTCGTCGTCGGATGGTCGAACCGCTGCCGTCCTCGGGCGCCGCTGCTCCTCGCTCCTGCCGTCCTCCATGCTGGTGTTGTTGGTTCCCGGCACGTCGCCGCTCGTCTCCGCGAGGGCACGCCTGGTCTTCGCGCTGGCCTCGAACGTCAACGCGCCCCTCTTGCCCTGCGCGCGGGACCGCCTCGTTGATGGTGCCTTCCACGTCGGACTGGCTGCCCCCGATCTCTTCGTCGAATATCTCCAAGCGCGTGCCAGTGGTCCCCAGCTTCCCCATCTTGCTTCTGCGCGCCCTCCGCCGCCAGCTCCCTCAGCCCGAGCTCCCCACACTTGTCGCGCGCGGCGCCCATGCCGCGGTCATCCCCGCTTGCCGCTTGGTCTTGCTCGCGTCGCAGCTCGCTTCCTCGAAGCCACCAATCTCCGAACTCCTCTCGCAAACATGATGGACCCACGAACCCGGAAAGGGATATAGACATGTGGAGCATGGACACGTTTTCATGATACCCAACTGGGCAACACCTCACGAAACATCCCACGAGACACCTCACGAAACAGCCCACGAGACACCTCACGAAACATTCCACGAGACACCTCACGAAACATTTCACGAGACACCCCGCGAAACATTCCACGAGACACCCCACGAAACATTCCACGACGACAGGCAACCACTCAACCAAGGCGGTGTGGTCGTGCTGGGGAGTGGTCGTGCTGGGGTGTGGTCGTGCTGGGGGGTGGTCGTGCTGGGGGGTGGTCGTGCTGGGGGTGGTCGTGCTGGGGGGTGGTCGTGCTGGGGCGTGGTCGTGCTGGGGCGTGGTCGTGCTGGGGCGTGGTCGTGCTGGGGCGTGGTCGTGCTGGGGTGCGTGTGCTGGGGTGTGGTCGTGCTGTGGTAAGGTCGTGCTGGGGTGTGGTCGTGCTGGGGTGTGGTCTTGCTGGGGTGGGGTCGTGCTGGGGTGTGGTCATGCTGGGGTGGGGTCGTGCTGGGGTGTGGTCGTGCTGGGGTGTGGTCGTGCTAGGGTGGGGTCGTGCTGGGGTGGGGTCGTGCTGGGGAGTGGTCGTGCTGGGGTGTGGTCGTGCTGGGGTGTGGTCGTCTGGGGCGTGGTCGTGCTGGGGTGGGGTCGTGCTGGGGTGGGGTCGTGCTGGGGTGTGGTCGTGCTGGGGTGCTCCGCACCCTGTGATTTATCGATCGGTCGTGCTGGGGTGTGGTCGTGCTGGGGTGTGGTCGTGCTGGGGTGTGGTCGTGCTGGGGTGTGGTCGTGCTGGGGTGTGGTCGTGCTGGGGTGTGGTCGTGCTGGGGTGTGGTCGTGCTGGGGCGTGGTCGTGCTGGGGTGTGGTCGTGCTGGGGTGAGGTCGCACCCTGTGATTTATCGATCGGGATTTCAAAAACAAGCGTTTCGCTCGAGACATCCTCAAATTTTAATTCGCCGGCCTCCTTCGACCTCGTTATTTATCAGGGAAAAAATTCGCCGGCCTCCCTCAAGTTGGCACCGGGGGACAGGTTTACCTACTAAAAGAGAACCCTGGGCCCACGCCCTTTCCGGGAAAAAGAAGAGGATGATGTGGCTGACAGGCTTCAAGATGCCTTGACGCCCTCGGCCGGAGGCCGAGAAAGTAATTAAAGGTGGCGGCATCCCGCTCCAGGGCCGCGAGCGGAAGGGAAGGAGACGCACAAGCGACTCGGAGCAGTCCTGTCACGCCGGCTCGAGGGCGCTGCCCCCTCGCAGTGCAGATGGAGGGCTTGCGGAATCCGACGAGTGCAGGGCGGTGGTGAAGAAGGCAAAGTTGTGGTCGTTGGCGCGTCCTTGCGCGTCCGACCCGATGCGGCGTGAGCCTTTGCATGTCCGACTCGATGCAGCGTCCTTGGCAGAGGAGGAGGAGGAGGAGGAGGAGGAGGAGGAGGAGGAGGAGGAGGGAAGGAGGAGAAGGCGACGATGGAGAGCGCGAGGAGGGAGGGGGCCGAGGGTGGGGGTGGGGAGAGAGGGGCAGAGGGGGAGGGGCAGAGCCCCAGGCGCCAGATGGGGCTGCTGCTCCCAGGGACGCCCTCCGCGCGAGGGCTTGGCAGCCCGGCCTCCCCTCCGAGGGGAGAGGCGGGGGGCAGGAGGGGGCGGGGGAACGGGAGGAGGGGGAGCGAGAGCGGAGAGGAGGGGAGTTGGGAAAGAGGGGGGCAGAGGGGAAGCGGGGAACGAGGGGAGGAGAGGGGGGGAGAGGGGAAAACGAGAGGCGGTCGGGGAGGGAGGGAGCCCGGGAGCGGGGGAGCAGGGGGCGCTGGGCAGGGAGGGGGCAGGAGGCCACGCGCGCCCCCGCCCCTGAGGAGGAGGAGGGGAGGAGGGGGAGGAGGGGAGGAGGAGGAGGAGGAGAGGAGGAGGAGGAGGAGAGGAGGAGGAGGAGGAGGAGGAGGAGGAGGGGAGGAGGAGGAGGAGGAGGAGGAGGAGGAGGAGGAGGGGAGGAGGGGGAGGAGGAGGAGGGGAGAAGGAGGAGGAGGAGGAGGGGAGGAGAGGAGAGGAGGAGGAGGAGGGGAGGGGAGGAGGAGGAGGAGGCGGAGGAGGAGGAGGGGAAGAGGAGGAGGAGGAGGAGGAAGGAGGAGGAGGGAGGCGGCGGAGGAGGGGGAGGAGGGGGAGTGGCGCACGCGGAGTGGCCCGTGCGAGCACGCACGCGCGTCCGCCCGCACGCGGAGCACTCCGAGGGCAGGCGCTCGCGCGAGCGTGGCACCACGCGCGGGCGCGGCACCACGCGCGCGCGGGCAAAGCAGCGCGCACGCGCGCAGAGGACGCGCAAGCACAGAAGGGAAACAGGCGTGGACGTTCTGGGATGCAGCAGTCGTGCTACCGCAAGGACCGCTGAATCAAGAACGAAGGAGCTCTTCTGGCCACGGCGAGCCTCGGCCGCGAGTGAACGCCCCGATCTGAACACGAGGAGCGGTCCAGAAACTGGGGCCCCTCCTGGGCCCAAAAGAGTGTTTGCTTTAGCGGCTTGACTGTAGTCGATCAGCGAGGACAGATGGTAGCAGAACGTTCGGCAGCATCTGATCGCCAGGGAACTGCGAGGCTGCTCACGCCAGATCAACACAAGGAGAGGGCCGAGCGGGGTCTTGCGAAGTGGCGAAACACCAGAATGTAGTCCCCGCTCGCCTGTGCAATAGAAGGTGTAGAAACATGCAGCATACAGCAGAGCGGTCCAAAGTCGATGAGCTTCAGGAAGTCTGCGTCCTTTCCGAGAGTCCCCATCCCAATACTGTTCCTGGTCCTGACACTTTTCTCCGCTGCTTCCCTCTAGCCATCCTTCACGCTTCCACCACGTCGTCCCACTCCCGTTTTCCACCATGCCTTCTCCACGTGACACATCTCAACAGAAAGTACCCCAGTGCCTTCGCTTCAAACCAAGAGAGCACACCCTCTTAGGTGCAGGAAGTGACGAGCAGAGGGTACGCAGGAGCGGAGAAATGGGACACCAAGGGCGGAGCAATCGTGGCGATCCCTGACAGGACTAGATACGTCTTTCGCGTCCCTCGATTCGCACTCCCCACAAACCCGCTTCCACATCCCCTCTACTGTTCTTCTTTCATCGGATGGCCCACCTTCGGGGCTGCTCGTTTGAAAGTGGGGTTATGGTCGCCTCAACATACACGAGGAACGCACCTGGCAAGGTTGGAAAAAAACGCGATGGGCGTCACAACATGTCATGCCCAAACTACCCGATTTCAACCTCCCGTATCACTGCATGAGTCTTGCCACACCGCTAGCCTGTCCTTTCGCTCGTACAAAAAATCCACGGGCTCCCCCCAGGGAGCTGCACACGAGCAAACAGCTCTCTAACTGGGCGCCAACGGTAAACCGTCAACCCTGGTTAACGTCAGAGAACTATGAGAGCTTCTGCTCGGACACAGGCGCCTCTAGAGCTCCTCTCAAGCAGGAGATGCGGCGCTGACCTAACCCCCGAGAGTGATCAAGAGCACCGCTCGAAGTAGCAGAGCAGTAACAGAGTGCCATTGGTGTTTCGAGTATAGCTCGAATGGCAGACCAAAGTCAGGCCCCTCGAGACTGCAACGCGAAGCTCTTTTTTGCCCCCGCATTTCCCCAAGGCGATAAATGTGTAGGTGCCCCACGCCCCGAAATTAAACAAAAACACAGCTCGAAACAGCAGAATTGATAAATCGTAAGAAAAGGAAAAATGATGCATTCTGGTTATAGCTCGAATAGAAGTCGAGTTCTGATTGTTCGAAAATGTGAAGCCAATCTTGGTTGGAACGCCAGCGTTGTCCACGATAGACAGCTCTACTGCTACCCAAGATCGCGGAATCTAGCACCCAAAACCATATCAACAGCAATAATCAATTTAAGACTGTTCGCTCTTACTGGCACGCGTGCCTTGCATTCCGTATACCGCAACCCCCGATACCGCCCACTTCGTATTCGGTTGCACCCTCTTTCGGGAGGAATATCTCCCTTGTCGGCCAATGGCTGCAATGCGAGGAAGTCTCGAGCGAGAGCGCCGTTCCTGAGTTCTGACCAGGGGCTCTCGGAGTAAATCGTGGGGAAGTATCGAACAGGAGCCCTTGTCGCCGTGGCTGGGCCCCCGCCGACTTAATTGACTTGCGAGGAAGTCTCGAGCGAGAGCGCCGTTCCTGAGTTCGGGGGCCTCTCTGGCCAGGGTGTCTCGGGGTCAACTGTGAGGAAATATCGAGCGGGAGCCGTTGTTGTCGCAGCTGGGCCTCCAAGGGCCCACAGTTAGGCTCAAGCGAACGACAACAACAACAACAACAACAACAACAACAACAACAACAACAACAACAACAACAACAACAACAACAACAACAACAACAACGACGACGACGACGACGACGACGACGACGACGACGACGACGACAACAACAACAACAACAACAGCAGCAGCAGCAACAACATCAAACGCACGAAGCAGCAGAACAGCCGCAGAGTGATACTGATATTATACAACAGCTCGAGAAGCAGACCGAACTCAGGTCCCTCTGGGCGGAAGAACCAAGATACTGGGCACACCCGCGTTCACGAACAGGCGGCACTCTGAGCGCATTCTTAAGATTTACAGCAAAGTGTGGTCGTATGTGCTGTTGCATATACATATACAAAATAACTATTAACAACGAAAAACGTTCCACTTAGCAGCAACGCGACTCGAAAGTCAGACGAGTTGTTCCCCACATCCAAAGTGGGAGTATCGTTTTCTCGGGACGCCCCGCGCAGGAACAGGAACACCCCCTCCCCGATCAGCCACACACTCACACACACATTCACAGCATCACCATCACCGCACCATCATCACGTACACATTCGCACACCTTCTCATCATCTAATACATTCACTCACTCACAACTACTACCCACCACTCATCACCATCGTCAGCATCAGCACCGTCGTTATCACAGCACCATCGTCAACATCGCCATTACCGCATACAAGTACTCACTCGCTCACACGCTCACCTTGACGAGGTCTCAGGCGGGAGCATCGGCTGTGAGACACCATCGTCAACATCGCATTAGCACACACACACACACACACACACTTACTCACACACTCACGCACTCATCTTGACGTGGTCTCAGACGGGAGCCCCGGCTGTGAGTTAACACCATCACCATCACCATTGTCATCATCGTCCACACCCACACTTGAGGAAGTATCAAGCGGAAGCCCCATCTGTAAGTGAACCGCGGGGGTATATCATGCGGGAACTCCTCCCGATGGGGCCGCCGCTCATGTGTTCAACCCGAGCTGGCCATCGGGATTTTGTAACTGTCCTCACTTTTGGGCCCCTGAAGCCTGAATATGGATGACGTATCAGGCGGGAGCCTCGCCTGTTGAGCCGAGAAGAAGTCTCAGGCGGGAGCCCCTTCCCTATGGGGCCCGCCGCTTATGTAAAACAAAAGACCGCAACAAAAACACAAAATTGCAAAAAACAAAACAAAAACGAGCGGGCCACTGGGATCCTGTACCTGTCGCCCCGTTGGGCCCATGAGGCCTGAATATGGAGGAAATATCGGGCGGGAGCATCGTCTGCGGGCGAATTGCGAGGACGTCTCAGGCGGGAGCCCCCTCCATATAGTGCCCGCCGCTCATGTTTTTTGAATGTGAGCAGGTCACCGGGGTCCTGTAAATGTCCTCAGTTTGGGGCCCTGGGGCATGGATATGGAGGAAGTCTCAGGCGGGAGCCTCGTCTGTGAGCGGGCGGGAGCCCCCTCCCTATGGGGCCCGCCGCTCACGTATTTTACCTGAGCGGGCCATCGGAATCCTCAAACTGACCTCACCTTTGGGCCCCTGGAGCCTGAATAAGCAACAAATATCAGGCGGGGGCCTCGTCTGTGAGTGAATTGCCATGGGAACTCATTCCCTATGGGGCCCGCAGCCCATGTGAGTAACCCGAGCGGGTCGCCATCAAACCTGTAACTGTCTTCGCGTTTGGCTCCTTCAGGCGTGAACCTGGGTGACGTATCAGGCGGGAGTCTCGTTTGGGAGTGAATGGCGAGAAAGTCTCAGGCGGGAGCCCGATCCCTATGGTGCCCACACTTCATGTTGGTAATCCGACGGGGTCATTGTAAACCTTGTAACTGTCGGCATTGTCGGGCCCTTGAGGTCTGAATATTGAGAAAGTATGAAGCAGGAGCTTCGTCTACGAGTGATTCGCGCCAACGGCTCGCGGGGTTGTCCTGAGCCCGCGGGGATAATCCCGACGGGGGCGCCGAGGAAAGTCTACGCGCGCGCCCCTGCCAGGAGGAAGGAGAGGTGCAGGAGGAGAAGGAACGGGGCGGCGATGAGGAGGGGGAGAAGGAGGAAGAGGTGGAGGAGGGCAAGGCAAAGGCCGAGGAGGAGGAGAAACATGAGGAGGAGAGGGAGGAAGTGGAGGAGGCGGAGGAGGAGGAGACGGAAGAGGAAGAGGATGAGAAATGCAACGAGTGGGACGAGAAGGAACAGGAGGAGGAGTAGGAGAAGAAGGAGGAGGAGGACAGAGAGGGCGGAAGGAAGCCCCCGCAAGACGAAGAAGAAAAAGGCGAGGGGCAAGCTAAATCGATTATCATGTGTGGTCCTACCGTCGGAATAATTCGAACTGGAGTAGCAGACAGATCTCAGGCCTCTCGAGGATGCAGACTAAATCTTCCGATGCTGCTGAATCGTTTCGTGCACTCGAGAGCTCTGCAACTGCTCTAAATCTCGCGACCAAATTCACAAACCGAACGCGTGCAACAAACATGTTCCAAGGAGAAGTGATCCGTGACACTTGTGGCACTTCAAAAAGATAGAATACACATATGGAAACAAGACGGTGGATGGCAATAAGATCTTACAGAACTCTGCCTCACCCTCAACGAATTATCAAGCATCTTCGAACCCATTGTTCAACAGGGTCTATATCACCGAAAGTTCCGTCGAGATTGTCCGAGCAGGCTAGCCCGCCAGTGATCCCGTACTACTCAGCTTCAGCCAATTCGCTGACAGGAAAGCTCTATGAGTCAAGCGAACCCTAAATACGCCCAGGCGTAGTTGTCGTCGGGGAAGCCCAGTAGGCTTATCGAAAGTCTTAAAGAAAACCAAGAAAGGGTGGCTCCAGATAAAAGAGTGACCGGGCAACGTGTTTAAGAAATGTGGATTACATCGCACTATGGCAGTATGTACACCATTGCACACCAGTGCCCTGAACGAAAATCGTCGGCCCCCGACAGACAGCAGCTCGATTATCCCAGCGTCTCCTAAAACTCACTTGCATACCAAAATCTGCTGGCGTCCACCTTTTTGCTTGCTCATACGACATCTGTGTTATACATGCCATTGGGCACTAAAAAGGCATGCAGCTGTGACATGACAGACGCTCTCAACAGGGCGGCGGGCGAAAGAGACCAAAGTCTGTCAGATTCTCTAACTTTAAGTCTCTGTGAACAACACCGCGACCATGCAGGTAGTTGACGGCCAACAACATCTGGTTGGTCGTACCTGTACCACCCACTTCCCGCTCTGTGCAGTAAACAATGAGGGAGAGCACACGAACTCAGAGAGACGAGGCACCTAGGAGAAAGAATCCAAATGCCCACTCCACGCATTTCCTAAGTTGTCTAGTGGCCTGGCCCTCGTCTTCCGTCGTATCCAGCGCGCCCGTCTGCCCTCGCCCTGTCTTTTCCCCTGCGCCCTCTCCCTCCTTCCCCTCCTCCCACGTCTTCATTGCTCATCCTCCTCCTCCTCCTACTCCTACTCCTCCTCCTCATACTCGTACTCCCCCTCCTCCCCATCAGGATCATCGTCATCATCATCATCATCATCATCATCATCATCATCATCATCATCATCATCATCATCATCATCATCATCATCATCATCATCACCAGAATCAGCATCAGCATCATCATCATCATCATCAGCATCAGCATCATCATCATCATCATCATCAGCATCATCATCAGCATCATCATCACCATGATCATCAGCAGCAGCAAGCTCGTCTGATCATCATCATCATCATCAGCAGCAGCAGCAGCAGCAGCATCACTATCATCATCAGCATCATCATCACCATCATCATCAGCATCATCAGCACAATCAGCATCAGCATCAGCATCAGCATCAGCATCAGCATCAGCATCATCGCCGTCGTCGTCGTGATCCTCATCCTCATCGGTCCTCCTCCTCCTACTCCTCCTCCTCATGTTCCTCCTCCTCGTCGCCGACGTAGTCATCAGCACATCAGCATGATCCTTACCACCACCGCCCCTATAATCATCACCTTCATCATTTACCATCAGCACCAAAATCAACATCATCATCATCGTCATCATCACCATCATCATCATCATCACCATCACCATCGTCAGCAGCAGCAGCACCTTCATCATCACCACCATCACCATCACCTCCATCATCTGCCATGCCACCAGCACCACCACCACCACCATCACCGTCATCATCATCACCACCACCACCACCACCACCATCGTCATCATCATCATTATCATCATCAGCATCAGCATCGTCATCATCATCATCATCATCATCATCATCATCATCATCATCATCATCATGATCAGCATAAAGATTCAACAGTATCATCAGAATCGTCGTCAGCATCATCATCATCATCAGTAAGGTCATAATTTGCATCATCTGCATCTCAATCATCATCATCATCATCACCACCACCACCACCACCACCATTATCCCCGCATCCTGACGCGCCCTCATCGAGACCCAGCCATACTCCAGGAAATACGCTGCTTCACTCGCGACCCACACTACGGTGCCAGGGCCGCGTACGCCTGGGCGTTCGCCAGCAGGCTGGTGAAAAAGATCTAACAAAAAGCAACAGTGCAAGGACTTCGTGGCTCTGCCAACGACTCAGCCTGGGCCGACGGATCGCACGGCAGGGTGCGACTTTTCGTCAGCGCCGGACTGGGCGCCCACGGGTGGCACTTTACTCCCCAGCTGCGGCGTCAGCAGGGCCAGCGCGGGCGATGGCATTGCCACCAAGCGGCAGAAGGGGCGCAGCCGTCTAGTCCTCCTCCTCATCCTCCTCCTCCTCCTCATCCTCCTCCTCATCCTCCTCCTGACCCTCCTCCTCCTCCTCCTGACCCTCCTCCTCCTCCTCCTCCTCCTCCTCCTCCTCCTCCTCCGCTTCCTCCTCCTCCGCCTTCGCCTCCGCCTCCGCCTCCGCCTCCTCCTCCTCCTCCTTCTCCTCCTCCTCCGCCGCCTTCGCCTCTGCCTCCGCATCCGCCTCCGCATCCGCCTCCTCCTCATCATCATCATCCTCCTCCTCCTCCGCCTCCGCCTCCGCCTCCTCCTCCGCCTCCGCCTCCTCCTCCTCCTTCTCCTCCTCCTCCTCGTCCTCCTCCTTCTCCCTTCATATCCTTTCTCCCCACCTCCCCCATCCGTCCACCCTGGTCAGGACAGGAAAGCGGAGCACTGGCGGCGTCTTTCTCGCTGAATATTTTCCGCTCGGTCACGCGGTCGAACAGCTCCCCGCCCTGCACCGGCCAGGGGCAGTGTCGCCCAGGGGGAGACGATGGGCGAAGAGGAAAAGGGTCAGAGAGGAGGGGAGGGGAGGCTTGAAATCCTCGTCGACCGTGGTTCATTATCTGGGAATAAAAACCCAGGTTCATTATCTGCAGATGATACCCTATGCATTATTGTTCTGTGCATGGATCGGGCTCAGGCCCCCCCCCGGCCGAATCATTATCTTTCCGGAATAATCAACCGAAGGTTAATATTCCAACATGATGAACCAATGTTTATTTCAGGCCCGAACATACCCCCAAACGGCGCCCCCCAGGCTCAATCATTATCATTCCAGAATATTAACCCGGGGTCAATCATCCGGGAACATTATGAGTCCGGGTTTATTATTTCTGGAGATAATGAGCCCGGGTCAATATTCCGACATGAAAAAGCTGGTGAGGAACCCGGGGGGTGGAAAAAATAATAATCATCATCATTCCGGAATGTCGAAAATCGAGTTAACTATTCCTGGGACATTGTAAACCCCAGTCAATCTCCCCGGAACATTATGAACCCAGGTTCATATGTTTTTGGGGTCGATATCCCCAGGACATTATAAACCAGGGTTTATAATGTTCCAGGGGGAACATTATGAACCCCAGTCAATATGCCCAGAACCCTTAAACCCAGCTTCATAATGATCCGGGCAAGACATGATGAACCTGGGTCAATAATCTCAGAACATTATAACCCCAGGCTGATATCTTTTTGAGGTCCATCCTGGAGGAGGGGGAGGAGAATGGGGAGGAGGAGGAGGAGGAGGAGGAGACGATGACGACGAAAACCTGGCGTTACGATGAAATCCGAGACGACATGACGATCAGGCACACCTACACAGCGATGTAGGAATCCGAATGCCCCTAACCACCAAGAGCCCACCGAGAGGACTCCAGCCAGCGCAGCGAGTCACGGGTACAAAGGAGGACGGCAAGGACAAAGAGATGAGGGCGAATAAAAAAGCGGGTGAGGCCGAGCAGGCCGTCGAACGGAGGCATGAGCGCGGGCCCGCATCCAAGAGCTCCTGCTGCGGACTGGAAGACGCTCACGCGGCCTGTCTCACCCTCCTCGTCCTGCTCGTTCCCCTCCTCCCCTTTTCCTAATCCCCATCATCCTTCCACTCCGTTTCCTCCTCGTTCTACGTTTGGCCCAGTCGGCCCACAACGAAAATCTGACAGGCACAAGTGAAAACACTGGTCCTCACTCCAGTCGGTCAGCTGATGTCTCTTGTTGTGCGTAAGGCGGCCTAAGAATTAGAGGCATCCTAGATGAGGTCCGAGTAGATGGGGTCCAAGTAGATGGTGTCAGAGGATCGCGCCGCATCGCCGATGCATCGGCGATGCATCGGCGGAGTCGGCATGGAAAAATCTGGGCTCCACATCGAGAAGCATGGGCGATGCGACGCGGCCCTCCGACCCCATCTGCTCGGACCCCAGGAGGCCTGGAAGAGCGCACCCCCCGGGGCGCGGACGCCAAGGCATCCAGGGCACGCCGGACCAGGACAGCACCGCACCCCTCCCGATCTCGATGCCTTCGCTGCATGCCCTCTCGCGACCCTGGGCGGATGCCGCCCTGGGAAGCGGCCGAGCCCTCGGCGAACGACGGGCCGGGGGAGCGGGCATGTCTCCCCTCGGCGGCTGCGCGCTCGGGGCACAGCGGCTAACGGTGGGTCTGGCCTTTGGGGGTCCTCTGGGGAGCCTCCCGGGCCCCACTGGGGCCGTCTGCGGGCGCTCTTCGGCTGTCTGGGGCCCTTCGGGGGGCCAGGTCTCTGGCCCGTCCTGGGATCCCCTTGGGGCCCCTCAGGGCCGTCTGGGACCTCTCCTTGGCCATCCTGGGGCCCTCTTGGGGCCGACTTGGGCCACTCTCCTGGCCGGAAGGAGCGCGCGCGAGAGCAGGCGCCGCCGAGGACCGAGGCGCACCAACGGGGGGGCAGACGCGCGCGCGCTGCACCGCCTCCCTGCCCCCTCCGCGGGGGCGGCGGAGCGCTCCGCGGGCGCCCGGGCTCGTCCGAGGAGCTCGACGGGCTCCGAGGGCGCGGACAGAACAAATTCTCACGCCGCAGCGCGGCAGTCCGCCCGCGCGCGCGGTCGGCAGGCCGGGCGACGGCACTGCGAAGTGTCCCGGATGCAAGGAGGAGGAGGGGAGGAACGGTCAGGACGAGGGAAGCGTGGCCTGGGCACTCGACGAGCCCTCGGCCCTCGGCCTCGTCCGGTGCCCCCCTGGGGCGCCCTGGTGCCCTGCGGGCGCCCTGCCCCTGCCCTCCGACAGGCCTCACGGGCACGCGGCCGGGCCCGAGCCCTCGACCGCGGCGGGCACGGCCCGGGCGCCCGGGCCCGCGCCGCCCAGCGGCACGCGCTGCTTCCCGCGGCAGCGTCCTCTCTTCTGCGTTGGCCGGGCTGCGCGGGCCGCGCCCCGCGCTTCCCCCGCCAGGGCCACGTCAGCGTGACGCCTGACTCCCCTCCCCTCCTCCTCCTCCTCTCCTCCTCCTCCTTCCTCCTCCTCCCTCCTCCTCCTGCTACTCCTGCTACTCCTCTCCTCCTCCTGCTGCTGCCTCCTCCTCCTCCTCCCCTCCTCCTCCTCCTCTCCTCCTCCTCCTCCTCCTCCTCCTCCTCCTCTGCTCCTCCTCCTCCTCCTCCTGCTTCGCCCGACTGTGTTTATAGCCAACCTCTTGTGTGGCCAGCGCCGCACAGGAGACATCCAGTGCGCTGTTGACATGGCCCTGGAGCTAGTCTTACCGAGTGCTGAAATTATTGTGTTTTCTATCGATGCCTAAAACTGTTTATGAGGTTGATGACCTCAGTAAGCAGTCAACAGTTGAAGTTTGGCATGGCCATACCAAGGCTGGCAGAGTGGCTCAGTTAGGAGGGGAACCCCCGTGCGAAACATTCTCGGCCTCTCGCTGGAAAGACGAGGGCCGCCCTCCGCTTCGGTCCTGGAGTGCCCCCTGGGTGCTGGCGGCTTTGACCCCCAGGCGGCGTTTGCAGGTCCAGGTTGCCAATTCCTTGTACGTGGCTATTGTAGAGTTCCTTTGTGTTCTAGCGACGGCTGGTGGAG